ATGAAACCTCCCACAAAAGACGGTTAACGGGTCTGATTTTGCCACCATGTCCACATCCTACCCCTCTTGAGGCCAGACATGCACCAGTTTCAACTGATCCTCTGAGTATTGATTAAACCCATTCATTTTACCTATATCTTCTACCTCCAGATGGCTAGAATAAGTTTCAAATGGAGGTCCTAGATTCTTGTTTTGAAGATCAAAATTGAGTAGGTCTGGGATTCTGTGTTTTTAAGTGAGTAACCAAAGCAATTTCACTCCTATATACTATCTACCGCAAAGAAGGAATTTATATAACCCATCAGGTTGGGAAGGAATCACTGAGAACATCTAGTACAATTTCTTCATTTTACAGTGAAGAACCCAGGGCAGGATATTTAGAAAGAAAAAATGATAGAGATCTGCAGAGACATGGAAGTAGGGTTCTAAGGTGGGAATCATCGTCTGTAGGTTTAATCTCTCTTATATTCACTTAGAGTAGTTTACCCCTCATCTCTGGAAGCTAGCAGCATGAAGAATTCTTGTCTGACATCTGCTTCAAACTGCTGGCCGATGCATTTCTGGGCAAAGGTCCACTAAACTGAGACAGAATAATGTTTTGCAACATGTGAACTACCTAATGCTAGTGTGAGGTTCAAAGGGGAGTCCCTCTTGTGGGTCTCTGAGTGCCTTGAAGGGCTTTATAATTTTTGTTTTGTTTTGTTTTACATTTTTTGAGTCCTTTGTCCTGGTTCTAGAGAAACTAAGATTTGCTCAAATGGTTGTACAGAAAGAAAGGCAGGAAGGGGGAAGGTGAGACATCAGGAACATGGCAGAGGATTGGGAACAGAAGAGACGACTGGAAAATGTCTTCCAAACATTCTTGCAGGGCCGTGGGATGTTTTCTAAACCATGCTCCTACGATCACAGCCACTATGACCAAATGCAATTAACATCTCCCATCTTCACGAGCACATGGATGAACACAGGCACAAAGAAGCATGGAAACCCCACAGACGATCGCGCAGACACATGCTCTTTTTTTTTTTTTTTTTTTTTTTTTTAATTTTTTATTGTGGGTTGTTCAAAACATTACAAATTTCTTGACATATCATATTCCACACTTTGATTCTAGTGGGTTATGAACTCCCACCTTCACCCAGACACATGCTCTTGGTGCCTCTTTGACCCAAGGTCTTTGTCTCTGGCTATGGAGACGACATGGGGGCTGGATCCTGCACAGCTTCAGTCAGTGAGAGAGAAAAAGGCCATCGGGGAACTCCTAGCTCAACCAAAGACCCCTCCATTGTACCATCATCCAACTCCTTTCCATATTCTAGTAATGGGTGGAGTCTGTCTCCAAAGGACATTGCAGGCCACACCACTTGTCCCTGTAGGGTGACCTGCCCCCTGAACTTGAGGATGGTTGGGGCTTCTCAGTGGTAAATGCCCTTTTCTCCAGTCAGATCTGTGTTTCCTTTGCATCTTGAGAGGATCTCTGCCCCCACCTACTCCCAAACAGGAAGACGCTTGTCTAACAGTGCATTTAAGAGACTGGGGTGCATTTTAAAATGATGGAAACCTAGGATGTCCCATAGGGGAGAGGTTGTCCCCGACAAGCCCCTCTGGGAATGTGCCACAAAGCAAATACAGTCTGAGAGCTTCCTGCATTTTAAGAAAGGAGGCAAATGTGGAACGAATAAAAGTTACCTGATCAGTAATTGAGGGAACCCCAAGACTGTTGGAAAAATAACTGGGTTAATACAGGAAAGATCTCTGGGAGAAGGACAGGGACGAAGAGCAAAGGCAGCAAGGTGGGAAGAAGTGGAGAAGGGGAGTCAAGTCTGGCTACGAGGCTTTAGAAAGTCACTCAGATCCCGTGCGCTCACATCTTCAGCTCCAGAATGACAAGATAACAACGCCTGCCTGATGGGTGGGAATTGGTGTATAGTCAGACAGACAGACTGAGTGGCCTGTGTAGATAGGTGGACAGGCCGGCATGTGGGGAAACTAGGACTTGTGCACTGTTCCTTAGGGTTTGGATATGAGGTGTCCCCCCAAAACTCCGGTGTTGGAGCAGGAATATTCAGAGGTGACAGGACTGGATTAGGAGAGCCATATCCTAGTTCGTCCGTCCTGGTTTGAATGGACTCACTGGGGGATAACTGCAGCCGTGGGGAGGGTGTGGCTGGAGGAGGTGGGGCACTCTTAGCATGCCCCAGAAGGGTTCCTCTTCTCTGACCCCCTTCCCCTTCTGTCTCTGCCTCCCAGCCACCATGAGTAGAGGACTGCGCCTCCGCCACGCCCTTCCACCAGCGCATCCACCAGGCCCAGAGCCATGGAGTTGGCCGACTATGGCTGAACCTCTAAAACTGTGAGCCAAAGTAAACTTTTTCCTCCTCTAGCTTGTGCTTGTCAGGCTTCTTGGTCGTAGTAATGAAAACCTCCCTCATACACACTTGTTTCTGACACCCATATATTCATGCTCTCTATGTAGAATGTGTGGGTGGATGTATTCACATTTTACCTACAGAAGAAATTCCACTAAACCGGTGATGAACAAAGGCTACTGGGTGTCATCAACACCTGAGGACTCCTTAGAACACTGCTTGCCCAGGGTCTCTGCTTTGGTAGGCTCAGCAAGGTGCACTTACATTCCCAACAAGGGCCTAGGCGATACTTATCTGCTGATCCTGGTACACTCTTTAAGAACCACTGTTCGAGGTGGTATGCTGAGGGGAAAAAAAAATTATGTCTGACCCCTTTAGAGGCCCTTCCTAACAGGTAAGTGATGAGTGTTTGTCAGTAAGTGCATAAGTGAGTGGATTTCACACAAGTGCCATTTTCTTTATATTGCACAGGGTCTCGCCAGGTGATCTCCAAGGTCTTCACCACCACCACTGCAGGGTGAGATCCCCCGGGGCGAGAGACAGGTATCCTCAGAGCTAGGCCCTGGGCCTGTGGGGAACTACTTTGGCTCTATAAGTGCTAACTTCTGGGGAGTGGCCTGCGAGGAAGGGGCACTGGATCAGCCCTTCCAGGACCCAGGCCCTGCCTCTTAGAGGCACCCTTTCACCCTCTACTGACTGCTGTGTCCTCAGGGAAGGGCCTGTCCTGCAGGATCTCATCTCCCAGGGCCATATGCATACAGCACTCCTCCCACCTGCCAGGAACAGGAAAGAGGCACCTCCGTCTCAGTCTCTCCTGTCCCTCCAGCCCCGCCCCCAGCACACTGACATGCCTCAGGGAATTTCAGAGTAACTTGGAAATGCAGAGCCTCCCTGGTACTCTTTTCTATAACCTCGGGGGAAAAAAAGAGCAAATAACTTAGCTCTGAAAGAAGAGGCATGTGTCCCCAGAAAGCTTCCAGGGGCTTCCGTCTCTGTTGCCTCTGGTTCCCAAAATACAGCCCTAGGGCTGAGCAACCTGCCAAACTGGGGCCAAAGGCCTTCACTTCTAGCTTTGGCAGCAAGAGCCACCCTTCCCTGTTCCCCCATAACAACAGGAACAGAGATGTGGAACAGAGATAGAAAACCCACAAGGCAACTCATTGTTAGAAAAGCTAACAATGATATCTGCCCCGAGATAGGCACAGAAATTTGGGGATACTCAAATTTGGGTACAGTGAATCTAAGAAGAAAAGCAGTAAATTAAAATGGAAGTTCATATTACCTTATAATCATTTGATATGGCTGTTAGAAAATCCAGAAAAATCACAAAAACTGGCCATGATGTGGGGAAACTAGGACTTGTGCACTGTTCCTAAGAGTGCAAAATGGTGCAGCCACACTGGAAAACTGTATGGTGGTTCCTCAAAAATGTAAAAATAGATGGGCTGGGGATATAACTCAGTGGCAGATTGCTTGTCTCACATGCACAAGGCCACGGGTTCAATCCCCAGCACCACAAAAAAAAATTAAAAATAGATTTATCATATGATCCAGGAATTCTATTTCTGTATATCCACATACAAGAACTGAAAACTATAAACTCAAAGAGGTATTTTACACCCACGTTTGTTGCAGCACTGTTAATTATAGCTTTAAAAGATGGAAGCAGTCCAAGTGTTTATCCATCCACCAATGAACAAATAAACAAAATGTGGAATATACCACACTGGAGTATTATACACCCTTAAAAATATGACACACCCTATTGCTGGGAGCCATTAGCCAAGTAGGTATGACAATTTCCTTGCCAGCGTACCCCATGTTGCTGACATGTTGCAGTGACATTGAATGTAAGTGACCTTGCTCAAGGACCAAGGCAGATTAGGGTGTTCCTGGTTTTAAGATAATCGTGTTTAGGGCGTTCCCGGTTTAGGTTCCAGGTTTAAGGTTTAAGATTATTCCTGCTGGGAATAGGGTGTATCCTGCTGCCTGAGTTCCCCTTGAGTTCTCACGGGATTCAGACAGTATATTTTGGAGATAGAAGCCCAGTGGAGGTGGATTTGGGCAGAGAACGTGGATTTCCCCAGAACGTGTTTGTAGACGGCTGGTGTGAGTTCGGGAATAAAGAGTTGCTGTTTGAATCTACAAGCTGTGTGGTGGCTCGTGATTGTGTGCCCAGCCAGACTGCGGCATTTGTGCCCAGCCAGACTGCGGCACCCTATAATATAGAAGAATGCGGAGGACATTATGCTAAATGAAATAAGCCAGTCTAAAGGACAAAACACTAATGATTCCACTTAAATACGGTACCTAGAATAGACGAATTCATTAAGACAGAAAGTAGAATGGTGTTTGGTAGGCACAGAGGGAAGTGGGGAATGAAAAGTTGTTATTAAATTTAATGAGTACTGAGTTTTAGTTCTACAAGCTAAAAAGAGGTTTGTGGAAGAGCAGTGGTGGATGGGAGCACCAGGAGGGGACAGGATTTAATTCCACTGACCTGCACACCTAGAAATGGTGCAGATGATAAATGTTATGTCATATATATTTCACCGCAACTAAAAAATAGAAACTCATGGCAGCAAACACGAAAGGAATGAAAAGCAGGCATTACTCGGGACGCAGGAGGAGAGTAGGTCAAGATCTTTATTGCTAGGTGGCCTCCTCTGTTGTCCATCAGGATAGCTTAAGCTGCTGACCCACAAGTCCTTGTGAGCAGCTGCCTGCCCCAAGGGAGGCACAGAAATTCGGGGATATTCTGACTCCTCGGATGGGAGTTCACAATCTAGCTGAGCCTATGAAACAGACACACCTGACTAGGGAATAACAATTCAAGAGATATTGCGAAGCAGTTGTCAAGTGGGTGGTGGGGCCAGTGCAGTGGGTCCTAGGAAATTAGCACAGGTTCCTATTGGTGGGAAGAGGCAAGAATCTCCAAGGCAGAGGCACTGAAAGATGGGTAGGTTTTGGATGCTGGGTCATGGGGGAGAAATGATCCCAGCAGAGGGAGAGAGTGATCACAGGCTTGGAGGTATGGACACCTAGGGATTGTCCTAAGGAGCATCCACCACGTGCCCTGGTGGCCTGGCTGGTCTGGCTAGGGCTGAAGATGTGTAGGGACTGGGTCGACTTGCTGCTGGAGAGACGTCTAAGACTGAGGTGTGGAACCTGAGATCATAGGAAAAGGAGCAGGGACGTGGCCTTTGAAGCAGGGAGCCTTTAGGTGTCTTTGGAGAGATGCGAACAAGAACACGCTGGAAATTGTTGCTGGTGGAAGAGGGAGAGGAAGGGCAAGGTTTCCCAGGCAGGAGACAGCGGGCATCTCAGCCCCTTTAAAAATAGGCACCCTTTGCTCCTGAAAAAGGCCCACCTTTGACACCAGCAAAGCCACTTCCCTGGTCTCCGCAGCCACCTGAGCCCTGTGGCTCTGGAAACACATCACCAGGTCCACAGCCAGCACCACTCTCTTGCCCCTGGTTGCAACTATATGGGCCGTAGCTGGGGCCTTCCGTGTCCAAACGGCACGGATTGGACTCACAACAGCCTAGGTCTTGTGGGTACGGGATCGGATTTGGGCTGGAGCAGGGGCTGGGACATCGAATAGGCTCCCCACACGGCTCAGGGCTTGAGCAGGGTGCTGGAAGGGGAATTGGCTCTGAGCGCTCACAGGGCTGTGGGCATGGGCGCGGCCCTGGATTCTCACACTGCACTGGGCGAGGCCTGGGAGCTGGGCGTGGAGCTGGACACGGAGCTGGACGTGGTTCTGGACTCAAGCAGGGTTCTGAAAATCGCCGTGCTGGGGGACACGGGAGAGGTTCTGGAATTATGCATGGTTCTGGGCGAGGCCGGGGACGTGGAGCAGGAAGTGGGCATCGTTGCCTAGACGGCTCTGGATATCGGTCAATGCGCTGCGGCGGGCAGGACCTTGGGAATGGACGTGGCTCTACACGTGGCCTCAGATCTGGGCAGGAAGCACCCCCAGAGGGCTGTGGGGCACAGCTCTGAGAGCAGCCTCTGATGGGAGGGATCTGGACAGGACACCTCTGTGGTGGGACTTGCCTGGGGCAGCACGGGGAGGAGATCTCCACTCGGCACTTGGGCCCACATCTCTGCGAGCAGCTTGAAGGGCGGCCGCGGGGACAGTGGCTGTGGTAGATGGGTTCCGAGCGGCGGGGTGGGGTGCAGTAGTTGTAGGAACCTGAAGGGCATCGTGATGGCAGGCAGCTGCTGTAACGTCGTGGCGGGGAACAGCTGCGGTAGGAAGGCTGCAGCCGGCGCGGAGGGAGGCACTGGCCGGTGCTCTGCGACCGTCGCTGCCCACTGAAGCTCCCATAGGAACCCTGGGTCTGGCATTGGGGAGCGCAGCTGCCGTAGGAACCCTGGGACTGACGCTGGGGGGCGCAGCTGCCGTAGGAACCCTGGGACTGACGCTGGGGGGCGCAGCTGCCGTAGGAACCCTGGGACTGACGCTGGGGGGCGCAGCTGCCGTAGGAACCCTGGGACTGACGCTGACGCTGGGAGGCGCAGTTGCCATAGGAACCTTGATACTGGCCCTGGGTGGAGAAGCCTCCCTGAGCCTGGCCCACTGGTGTGCATTCCACGTAGGTGTGCACAGGCTGGGGAGCTGGAGCCGGCACGTAGGTCTGGACTGGGTATTCCACATAGCGAGTTTCCGTGTAACAAACTGGAGCACATTGTACGTAGCAGGTCTGAGCAGGGCATGGGACTTCATATTGCACGTAGGAAACCTCAGGCTGGCATGGAGCCTGGCACTGAACGCAGGAAATTTGAGTCTGGGAAGGAGCCTGGGACTTCACCTGTGTCGTCTTGGACTGGCATGGATCCTGGCACTTCACTTGCGTGGTTTTAGATTTACTTGGAGCCTGGCTCTTTACCTGGATGGTCTTAGACTGGCCTGAAGCTTGGCCCTTCACCTGGGTGGTCTTGGACTGGCATGGAGTCTGGGAAATTTGAACTGGACATAGTGTAGGACACTCCAAAATTTGCATCTCATAAGGGGCTTGGACCAGCACCTCGCTATTGGCATATGGGCCAAAGGAGGGCCCGAAGGAGGGGCCGAAGGAGGAGCCCTTGACACAGCACTGGGGCAGGCAACACTGAATCTGCTGCTGGTCACACATGGTCGTAATGCAGGTGGGTGAGTGGGACCTAAGGGCAGAGAGAGAAACGTCAGGAGGGTGAGAACTGGAAGGAGAGACCAGGACCTAAGAAAACATACCTTTCATATATCCCTGAACTTCCCTCTCCCTTCAACCTGCACCCAAGAATCCTTACTGACTTAGTTGGACCCAGAATTAGTCACTATTGAGCATGAGACCTGCCCTGGGTATGCCTAAAGGCCTGATTGTAGATAGCCAGGGTTAGAGAGGTCCAGCATCTCCCCCGGGAGGATGGGTATACCAGTGTCCGACACCAGAGGGCGCGCGGATGACTGGCGGATTCTCCACACTTCCTAAAGGGCTGTGCTGGGAGCAGGCTTAGGAGGAAAGGAAATAAATCTTTTGCTCCCAGAGCTTCAATTTACTCACACGTGCATATCGGCAGCACACATGTATGTGCACACACTTTAAAATGAACTATGGAACATAGTCCCGTCTACACTCACATGAATGTCAAAGCATCCATTGGAGAGTAATGGCTCCAGTTACCGGTCAACTCGAACTCGGCATTGAATATTTATTTCTCTGTATTTGATCTTTTTAGATGAATTCAGATAAATAGAGCCTTGTAAAAATATGCAAAATCATTCACATTCAAAACGCTCCAGCCTTGGAAGGGCCTGGGATCAACCTGGTGACTTGCCCAGACAGGTTGCTGCTGTTAATCACCCAGCATTGACAACCTGCTGGCTTCAGGAATGTTTTGTTTATTTTTCTTTCATTTTTTTCCTCCTCAGCCCCACTGATGAATTACTAAGACGGAGTAACTCAAGAAGTACAAGATTCTTAATCACAAGACAGTTGTTCAGTCCCATGTCAAGACCTACAGCTAGAGCCTTACAAGCATCACCCAAGGCACGCAGGCGTCCACTCCAATACCACACTTAGCTTGGGAGAAAACACGGGTGGCTGACACTTCTCTGTGGACAGGCACCCCACTGAGCACTACAGAAGAGGGGTGATTGGATAAAACCAGCTCAGACCACAAAACACCTCTCAATAAACTCCCAGGATGCTGCAGAAGCTCCCAGTGAAGAACAAAGCCAGACATTTTCCATTTATAGAGACTACGTACATCTCCCCTCGGGGAAGGTGATCCTCCCTCACCCGACTCTGTTCACGAGATACAAATAACTAATTTATTAATTAGTTGTTAGTTTTCCAGAAAGAGCAGGTACTGATGAGGAAAACAGTTACCTGAGGATGAAGCCAACATTATTACAGACAAATACACTGGCTTCATAGCCCTGTCTCTTCTCATGAACTCTAAAAATATTCTTATGTCTCCTAAAATGCACCAGGCTGCTCCTCGGGCCAATTTCCCCCTCCTCCTCGGCTCCCAGCTTCTCCTTCACTGTGCCTGACTCCTGTGAATGTGTCCACCCATTGAACACCCCCCCCCAACCCCAAGACCCAGCTCCTGGACTCACCCTCCTCAGCAGACACGCGATCATTCAGGCTAAGGCATCTGGGCAGAGGACCGTCTTTATATAAAGGGCCCTGGGTCTGGCTCAGGATGAAACAGCCTGTTGGCATCTTCCTGGCTCATGGCCCAGCTTGGCATTCCAGCCACTGGGGCCCTCCCCTGTATGCCTGTCCTCGCAATCACCTAGAGTCGGGAGTGTCTTGCTTCAATGTCAAATCTTCCAGACTACGAAAGAGCAGATCGTTGTTTTCTTCCTCTCTCTTCACCCTATCAGTTTCTTCTCCATCCCTAAGAAGGGCTGGTAGGGGGCCTGATGAGGAGTGGCAAAGGACTAGATGGTGCTATCCCCTCCCTTCCTCCTTGCCTCAGATTCTCTCATGATGGAAGATTTCCTAAATTAAAGCAACCAAAATTACCTCAAGGCCAGAGACACTATGCAGAACAGAGAGGGCACAGGGTCAGAGCTGATTCTAAACCCAGGTTGGCTTACTTACAGCTGTGGGACCATTATTACTAAACCCAGTATTAATTTACTCCTTTGCAAAATGGGTATAATTAAATATCCCTTTCTGATTATCATAAAGATTAAGGCGATTATTATATCCAAACCCAGTCAAGAATGATTTTCAAAATAGCCAACATCCACTCAGAGTAAATGCATTTCATAAGCAGCAGACACAGCTGGATCAATGGGCAGCTGCGACAGCCCCGTCTTGAGTTGAGAAAACTGATGGCCACATAGCAGGTGAACAGCTAATGCTGCAGGGGGGTACTTGACGGCAGCAGGAGGCTGCTGAGGCTGTGAAGTGGTTCTTGAAGATAGCACCGTGCAGAACAGAAGTATTAAACTGGCATCCTGTGGGTCAGAAACGGGCAAGATGGATATCGTTCCATGCTTTTCCTGCATAAGATTACAATTAGTTATTTCATATTTATAAATAGAGAGATTTCACCTGGGATTCCAGACATCCAGATTTTCTTCTGAAATGAAAAGATCTGGCATAGGTCAACCTGCCTTCCACCCACCTGATTCCCAGCAGCCCTCCTTGGATAGGACACACACTTTTCTACAAAGCTCCCTCATCCTTTACTCTATCTACAATGCTTTTCAAAGTGTGGATTTCCTTGTTTTGATTTACTTGTGCTCTTAATTTTTTTTTTTTTTTTTTTTTTTTTTTTTTGCTGAAATTGGAAAAGAAAGAAAGAAAAAAATCCTTCTGCATGGAACATTTCACTTGTTCTAATCACCCTCCAGCCTTTGTGTGCATTTAGATCCTGATCGAGCTCATGAGCAGAGATTTTAGATTTAGGCAGCTTTTGAGCCCTAGTACTTACTAATGAAAGCTACTCAGCTATCATGAGCCTCGGATCCCTTATCTATAAAATAGAAAAGAGATGGAGGGGGTGGAGTGGTGGATACTTAACTACGATTTAGCTCTGTGGGCTCCAGGGTCTTCATATGACGACAGAAGTGACGATACATTTTTCACCAGGTTCTCAGGAAGACACAATCAGATCATCAGTATGAAAGTGATTTGTAACCTACAGTGCACATGCCAATCATGTTGACGAAGTCTCTCCCAAGGGGATGTCTTCCCAGTTCAACGTGACTTCAGAGTCTTACCTTTGGGTCCCGTCACTCATTCCAAAGGAGTCCCCAGATAACATTGTAGACCTGAATAGGTTTATAGACTTTCAGAATGTTACAGCAACAAGACCCCCAGAAATGACCTGGTTCTACCCTGCCCTTCTATATAAGAGGACTTTAAAACCCAGGAAGAAAACCCTAATTGGGGAGGTAAAGCTAATGGCTCTGTGTCTTCTCTTCTGTTCCATTGGTCATCTTGGCCGTCTTGGTGCCCATACCATGCTGTTTTGGTTACTATAGCTCCATAGTATAACTTAAATCTGGTATTGTGGTGCCTCCTGCTTTGCTTCTCTCTAAGATTTGCTTTGGCTATTCTGGGCTTCTTATTTTTTCAAATGAGTTTTATGACTGCTTTTTCTATTTTCATGAAGAATGTCATTGGAATTTTGATAGGGATTGCATTGAATCTGTATAGTGCTTTTGGTAGTATGGCCATCTTGAAAATATTAATTCTGCCTATCCAAGAACATGGGAGGTCTTTCCATCTTCTAAAATCTTCCTCAATTTCTTTCTTTAGTGTTTTGTGGTTTTTATTGTAGAGGTCTTTCCTTTCTCTCTCTCTCTCTCTCTCTCTCTCTCTTTTTAAATATCTTTTTTAGTTGTAGGTGGACACACAAGTCCTTTATTTTATTTTTATGTGGTGCTGAGGATCGAACCCAGTGCCTCACACGTTCTAAGCACTGCTCAACCACTGAGCCACAGCCCCAGTCCCCTCTTTTCTCTCTTTTATTAGATTGATTCCCAAGGTTGTTGGGTTGTTTTTTTTTTTTTTTTTTTTTTGGTTGTTGTGTTTGCTTTTGTTTTTTCTTTGAGGCAAGGACTCTTTCCACTTCAAATTACTTCTCTGGCCACACATTTTGGTCAAGGAGTTCTGAACATGGATAGCATCCTGCTTTGGCATCCACTGAGAAGGTATTCTGGAAAGCAGTAAAAAAAGAAAACTGAGAACATAAACCAGCTGTTCCCACCAAAATGTGAATTCTTGAGTCCTAATAGCTTTGTGTCTCTCCCACGCATCTTTTGATGAAATGTGTAGTTTTTAAGGGGAAAATACCTTTGCATCTCTATATCCTGACATAACGTGTCTGTTGGTGGATGATTGACAGATGATTGGAAAGCTGGGCATGAAGCTGGGCTTGGTGCACATATCTTAAATCACTGGAGGATGAGTGGGTAGGCCAGAGCAGCACGGCAACCCTCGGTGCTTCTTAAAAGAGAAGAGGAGGCGTGGGTAAGGGTGTAAAGGGCCTGAAAGGTAAGTCTTACAGACGAAAACAGGCCCCAGTGGTAGAGTCTTCAATGATATGATTTCAGAAATGAGTCATTAGACTAAAAGCAAAAATATTTAACTTCCAATCCTCTTCCTTCTCTGAGCTGTAATACTCTAGAGCCAAAATGTTCTCACTGGTTGAAGAACTAGAATGAGTACTGAGGTAGTTTAAAGGCCGAGATAAAGGTGGCATAGTCTTTATTCTTCAATAGTCTAGAATCCTACTTCCAAGTGCATTCCTTATCTGGCAGTGGCTTCACACTAAATTGTCCCTTTAGATTGCCCTGGGGTGGTCTTCTAGTCTCTGTGAGCCTACGTGTGTTTTTAGATTTGGGGGGTTTTGACTCAACCAACTCAAAGATAAGTCATTCTCTCCCCTTAGAAAGTTCCTCCTCCTGAGGGTCTGTTCTTGCACAGGGGCTATTTAGAATAGTGACCAAGTCACTCTCGGTCCTCCTTCCAGCTTAACCCAACATACAGTCCCCACATACTCTTCATTCTACTCCATATTTCTCTCAAATATTCTTCCTAATGTCCATACCCACTGCCCCTGCTGGACCTCGGTGTTTATGCACCTACATGGTACAACAAATCCACTGTTTTCTCTGCTTTTAATCTTTCTTCCATTTAACTTCCAAGTAGCCACTAGAATGATCATCCTTAAAAAAAAATTCCCTTTGCTTCTCGTGGTCTCCTGGGGCAATGGTCAAACTCCTTTACAAATCCCTGTATAAACCGGCTTCCTTCTGGCCTTACAGGTTCATGGCCCTCTCATTGTCACTGCCTCCCCACTTACCTACCACCCCCCATAACATCAAATGAAGCCAGGCGAAGTGGTTTCCATCCCCCACACATGCCTCAGTACCCCTGGACAGCGAACCTGTCTTCCCTTCCTGGGACGGCCTCTCGGCTCTTCTCCACTTAGGAATTATTATCACTCATCCTCTGAGACAGTCCCAAGTCACATCCTTGGTCGTGTCCCCGCTCCCAAGGCCATGATTCACTCTCTGCTCTGGCAGCACTTTAGACACACCTGTTTGGGGTTGTCACGTGCTCTGATTATTTACATTCCCAGGTTCCACACTAACTGGGAGCTCTTCAAGGAAAACAATTCGTGTTGTAGAAAACTTTATGAAACAGACCCTGGGCAAGTGCATAGGCTTTACTTTACCTTCTGATTCATTTATTTAACTCGAATTTATACAGATAGGCACACATCCACACATAGACACCGATGCCTGGTCTATGTCTTATGTTGCAGTTTATAACATTGAGTTTTCCATTATATATTGAAATATAATCAATAGATACATGGTAACATATTAAAGCCATATTCAAATCTACAACAGTATCAAAGAGAAAGGGTGAGATAGATACATAAGCAGAGGCTATCTCCAGAGAGAGAGAGCATTAATTTTAGAGAATGGTCCAGAGGCTCTTTAGATTGAAGGAGCTGTTTAGAAATAGCAGCGTAGGTTGAAATACACATAGCTAGAAATATGACATAAATCTGAGAACATTTGATTCACAAAATTCTACAGTTATCAAATTATAAAAATAGAGATAGATAGCAAAAGGTAGAGGTGGAGTTATAGATTTTCTAAAAAACATGGAAGCATAAATGGTGCAAATTGGGAATGGGACGGAAGTGAAAGAGGCCTAGCGGTACAGGGGAGGACCTGCGGATGCCTTGATGCTGAGACAGGGGAAGCCACTTGAAAAGCACTCAGGCTTCTAGGGACAATTGAGTGAGAATTTGCTACATCACTAGCCAACTTGGCACAGGTTAACTGAGTTTTTTTTTTTTTTTAAACAGAATCCCTTAATCCATCTTTTCAGACAATGTGATATCCTACTTGAATTTTACTTTATGGAATTTCAAAAATTATAAAGCTTATGATTTAAAGTTTTTCTTGGTAAAATAGGCAAATAGAACTGAAAGATCACACACACTATTTTTATAATTGCTTAACTTTATTTTATTTTTTCCCTTTTTGGTACCAGGGATTGAACCCAGGGGTGCTTAACCACTGAGCCACATTCCCAGTCCGTTTTTTTTTTGTTGTTGTTGTTATTGTTATTTTTAATTTTTATTTCATTTTATTTTTAAAATTCTGATACAGGGTCTATCAAAGTTGCTTAGCACCTCGCTAAGTTGC